GATGAGAGGGCTGGCTTGCGGGGGGCCAAAGCCGCTCCCTCCCCCGCCCCCCCACACCCCCACACGCCCCACCCCGCGCGCCTCCCAACACCCTTGAACCCTTCCTAAATTGCCCTGTTGTTAGAGGATTACCGTCGAGTGTGCACATGTCATGAGCCAGAAAACACTGATGAGGGGTCGCTCTTATGGACACACAGTGCGTCTCAGCAGATATCTGCCGTGCAACACTTCCTAAACATCAGCCGTGCCTATCTTACCTGCTTGACATGGAAGACGCCTTGCACGAAGATCAGCGTCCCCATCCAGATGAGTGCCAAGCAGTACAGCAGAGAGTTTTTGGCAGGAGCCATGCACTGGACGCAGGCATGACCGCGGCGTCCGTAGCCAGATTGGCATTCGCCACACAGGACACCCTATGAATAAGTTGGCAGATTGGTGGTAGCGCGGGAACGTGGAAGGTAGACAAGGGAGTTGGGCAAGCATCCATTTGTTCATGGTCATCACATGCTGCTGCGCTTCATCCCATCAAGACAAGGTCCATAATTGAGTAATGGTCGTGATTTCCCACATTCATGCAAGCTGTGTATGGTTTTGCATCATCCCTTTAGACGTAACAGCACCCAGCACACCACAATTTCCAGCATTCCTATAAAACAATAAAAGGGGGCCTATTTGAATGCTTTTAACAGCCAAGAATTGAATGCGGCATCATCTATTTCTAAACGACGACTGAGCATGCACGGGCATGCTGTGTGGTCAATCAATTGCTTACTTGGTAGCCCTTGGCGCATTGAAGGCCGACAAAGTCAGTGATGCCGCTGGTAGTCCCAACCCTGTTCATACCATTGAGCTCTCGGATGGTGTACTTTGCATTTCGTGCTCCCCACTCCTGCATAGCAGACGCATTGGGGCTGCATGCGGGCGCGTGTAGGCAACGGTGCACCAGGGGGCTGCGAGGGTGTGACACCCACCAGCCGGCATCTGGGACCTTGGTGGCACCGGTGCAGCTGGCGTGGGCAGACTGATCGCAGCGGATGCACTTTCCAACGGCGTAGGGGTCGAGGCTGACGGTCCCGCTTGGGCAGCTCGTGCACTTGATGTCAACTTGAGTATGGGCCCACCGAGTGTCCTCTGCACCGACGCTTTCGACCGCCTCGCCTGCAATGCAACTGCGCAGCTGCAGCGTCACACGGGCCGGCTTCAAGGGCCGTTCTTGACCATCCAGTGGAGAAAATTCCAGGAGCCAGTCGCCTGGCGGTGCAAACACCTGGAGTGCCCGGAACCTGGCTACACCCCTCACAGCCTGAGACAAATTGCCGGCACGCACAATTTCATCCGCCAGCTTCGGGGCGCCGATCCCTCCACTTCGAAGCACATCCACCTGCCGATCGCATATGAGGGAGCAGGGAGGGGTGTCACACATGCGACAGCTTGGGGAGCAAGTCACGGCACGTGCCTGCCAGACACCAAAAACATGCATAGCCTATAAGTGAATGCAAAACGCAAGCAAAATCATTGCTTTGAGAAACACAATGCACATATCCGGCTGAGGCCGAAACAGCCGGCATCACCTGGCGTCCAAAGTTTGGGGGTTAGTCAGTTTAGATTGTTACCTGCACGACCATGGTTGCATCAACCCCCAGTTGCACAGTCTTGTTTAGCCAGTCTCGCAAAGCGACGTCAACTGTGATGAGGCCGCCTGGTGCCGCGGATACGCACGTGATTTCCTGATCAAGCCTGGGATCCAGCACCACAATGCTGTTGGCAGCACTGGCCAAATCGTCGCCATAGCTGCCCCTGGCTGCTGTGTTGAGCGACTTGCTGCTATTCAAGCCCGTTTCTGTCTGCATGATTCTGCCATCGTTGCCAGCACCAAACACATCTAGGACAGGGCACTTGGACAATGGGAGCTCCATGCCCTGGGAGCCTGGAGTTGTGCAGCTCGTGTAGGCCCGGGTGATGTCAGTCACCATGAGGCCGCCACCTGGGCCATCAGTAGCAGTATTGTTATATATCACATTGCTCTGTAATTTGAGCATGCAGGTGGTGCCAATGGTGTTGGTACCAGTGGCCGTAGGACCTGACCCCTTGCAGATGTCCGTGCGCACCAGTGCGCCTCCTGCACAGGTGAGGGCAGACCCACAAAGAGGATTGAAGATAGAGGAGAGGAGGAGGCCAGCCCACATGCTGAGTGCAGCTGTTGGCCGTTGGCAGGAACATTTTCAACAAGAACATTGCCACATGCGGCCAGTGCTGACCATCACGCCACCCGCAACAAACCAAGCAATACACACAATGGCAACGGGACAGCAGACATGACAACACCAAATAATGAGTGGCTTGTCCGCCCAACCTTGCCTGATAGTAAAGGAAGCCGATGGCCAAACACGCAGGACATTTGGAAACAATCATTGCTGGAAAGGTAGGCACGGTCTATCAAGCGTGTCTGATATCACGTTTGCGCCCCCTCCCCAGCCATTCAGCCGACCCCTCACACGCATTCAGGTGCACACACACTCACCACCGTTGGCGCCACGGTTCTGTGTAATATTTGAATGCAGAATTTCAACTGTGCTCTCTGCGGCAATGTACATCGCGCCCCCGCCCCTAAATAAGGCAAAGTTAGTCAATCAGGGTTTGATGTTAGTGTTGACTGATGAAGAGGCGGACAATCCTAAGTAAGCCTACCAAGTACGAGCAATGGCCCGTGCTGGCTAAACAACCAGGCTGCCCCCTGCAGCAAACGCGCATGCATGGTCACATCAAGGGTCTCACTTGTACAGCATATCGTCCCCTAGTAATCTGAAAAACGAGCTAGGAGCGATCTTATCCTGGCCCTGCAACACCGCAAGCGATGCCGCATCATCGGAGTCCAAAGAGCCTGCCTGCAGCAGCTCCAGCAGCCGCCTTGCTTCTTGGCTGTTCAGCGGGGCTTCAGCCGCGGCGGCGTTGCTAGTGAACTCATTTCCTGTCACGCTGACATTGCCAGTCGGGAGCATGATGGCAGTCGCCCCGCCCGCTGAGGTTGCAAAATTCGAGATGAAGCGTGAGTCCTTCAAGGAAACTGCGCCGCACTGCTGGCAGCACAATCCACCACCAGCTGCAGCAGTCGCAGGGCTACCGCTTGCGATGTTGCTGATCATCGCTACCCCTCTCAATGTAACGTTGACCCCGGGCCCAACAGCAATGGCACCGCCAGTCCTGGAAGGGCAGGAGAGCGCAGGTAAATCAGGAAGGTGCAGTGTGGTGTTAGACAAGTGTGATTGTGTGGCAAACTGCTGCGCAGTATCTGCTGTTCCGCTGCATCCTGGCGAGAGGCAAGAGGGTCAGAAGGTCAATCAAGAAAAAATGTACAGCCTATGTTTCACAAAAGGAGGCATAGATGGACGACCTGCTACGCTCAAAGCCGTCGCACCACCCCC